ATTCTGCGTGTGTGTGTGCGCGTGCGTGCGTGCGTGCGTGCGTGCGCGTGTGTGTGTGTGTGTGTGTGTGTGTGTGTGTGTGTGTGTGTTGCAGATGTGGACGCAGATGCGTGCGTGTGGTTCGTGCGTGCGTGGACGAGGCGCCTGCGAGATGGTCGCCACGTGGGCGGAGGGCGGCTCCCCGCCCACCGCTATAGAGACGAGCTTGCGCGGCTGGATCTGCGACGGCTGGACGGCGCAGGGCTCGCAGAGGCGCTCGAAGGTGGACTGCTGCACGAGGGCGCGCCGCCCCTTGAGGTGCTCCTGCGCAGAGGGGAGGGGAGGGGAGGGTGGCGCGCTGCACGCGAGGGTTCGGGCAGGGAGGAGGCGGCGTGAGTGGTGTGTGCGCGTGGGGCGTGCGTGCTTGCGCGCGTGTGTGACGTCCGGAGGCAGGGGGAGGGGGATGTGGCGTGCCCCGGGTCGTCATGGCACACGGCATACTCTCGGCCCATCTCGGCCCATCTCTCGGCCCATCTCTCGGCCCATCTCTCGGCAGATCTCGGCCCCATCTCGCGAGGCCTTGGTGGTCATGCCCGCGCAGATGAGCGAGACGTGGTATGCGGTGAAGGAGAAGAGGAGTGCCGCCATGACGGCGCAAAAGACGACCGACACGGTCGACGCGAGGCCGCGCAGCCCGGTCGAGTGCGGGTCCAGGGCGCCCGGGTGCGGCGGCACGCGCGTGGGGAGGGCGAGCGCGGAGATGAGCACGACGGCGAGCGAGAGGCAGGTCGACGAGAGGAACATGACGAAGGGTCCGTAGTTGCGCGCGCCTGAGGCAGGGTCAGGGTCAGGGTCAGGGTTAGGGTTAGGGTTAGGGTTAGGGTTAGGGTTAGGGTTAGGGTTAGGGTTAGGGTTACCGATGCAGTTGCGGGTGAACGGGCAATGGTGGTCAAAGTCGCGGACGCAGTTGTCGCAGTCGGAGCAGTGGCTCGAGCGGGGCGGGCGGTAGACGTTGCACGTGCTGCACCACGTCTCGTACACCGTCGCCCCCCGCTCGTCCGTCCGAGTCCGCTGCGGCGGCATCGGGCCCGACGGCTTTGGCCCACGCGGGATGATCCCGGGGTCGGTGAAGGAGGTGACGGAGAACCAAAAGACGGCGGAGGCGAAGGCGAGACAGCAAAAGTACGAGTACACCGGCGGCACGTGCGACGGGTCCCACAGGATGTCGCTCCACGTGTAGAAGAATATCGCCATCGGCGTGAGCAGCGACGTCCACGCGCAGCTGTTTGGGCCGACGTCCTCGACCGGGCCGGTCATGAGGAAGCCCCAGCAGCAGAAGACGTTCTTCGTCGGCCACACCTTGTACGCTCGCACCAGCGACTCGGGCGCCACAGACCTCGCCGCGTAGCCAACCTCGCTAATCAGGTTGGCCGACGACCGACCTACTGCCGAGCCGACCTCTGCTGCTCTTGCCGTCAGGTTCCGCTGCTGCGTGCGCGCGCGCTGGATGTAGTTTTTCGGCGGCGGCGGGAGCGACGGAGCGGTGGACTGCACAGCCATACGCGCAGCAACGGCTGCGTCTCTCGAGCTGCGCCTCGCGTGGAAGGGCAGGAGCCGGAGGCGTCCTTACCCAGCCAGCGTATCGTGTGGCGAGTAAAGAATTTTTGGATTCAAGCCCCTCTCACAGCAGACTGGCTCGGACTGGCACTACAAATGGCACAGCAGGCGACGGCCCCTTACGGGTCGTCAAAGAGGCCGGCGTACTCCTCCGGCCGCTCCTCCCCCTCCCAATCCTCCCCGGGCTCTGGCTCCTCCACCTCCTCCTTCGCCCGCGCCCTCGCCCCCCGCCGGCGGCGATTCCGTGCGGCCGTCGCCCCCGCCCCCTCCCCGCCCCCCCCCCCCCATCACGGCCGGAGCCGTACCACCCAGCGCGCACGAGGAACGAGGACTGAGCCTCAACCTCGTCCAACCTCACCGCCCTCACGGCGGCGTCGCACGCCTCAGCCCGCGAAGCGCCAGCAGCATGCGCCGCGGCGTACGCCGCGTCGCCTACCGCCCGTCTGCCTCGCGAAGGTTCGGTCGTTGTACACGCTGAGCCATAGGCTCAGCACCGTTTGCACGCCCGACTTGTTTGGCTGCAGGAAGACCACGCCAGAGTTCAGCTCGGGAAACGCGAGCGGCACCTCGAACGCAGCCCTCCA